TGTACTTATGCTTCGGTGATTTTTGTGTTTCCAGGTTTTTTATCCAACTCTAAACATCAACGGGAAGCTGTTTGTTGCCATGGACCAGAACGGGGTTTCCCCGCCGCCACTGCAGGGGCAGCTGCCTGCTTGCACCATGGAGAAGGTCAAGGAGGAGAGTGTGAGTTCCGTGTCCTGACTGTGTGTGTGTTCGCTGCAGTGGAAACAATGGTGCAGCCTGCAGCCATCCAACACTCAGACATGTGAATTATGAATCAGCGCTTTGCATAACTCCACTCTGATATCACGGGTTAAACACACACACACACACACACATCAACCATCTCAGATAACAGTGCCATGGTATTCCCCCCATCTGCTCATACACGTGGGCGCACACACACACACACACACACACTGTTGGCACAGGACTATTTCCACACACTCTGAACTTTGTGTGCAGTTACAGACATCATTGAAGAGTTAACTGATATAGATTCATTCAGACTGTGTTCACCTCACACAGGGATAAATATTTCACCAGGAGCCAATCAGGTGTCAGAAAGTCCAAATTTGGGCAAAACTGTTGGAGTGTGGACGAAGCTGAGGTTTTGATAGGTTGTGACATTTGTCAAATGAAGCAAAAGTGCCTTCAAACCTCATACTTTAGAGCAAAAATGTCTGGATACACAGAGCTGTCACTAGAAGACACTTTTGAATCGTTAACATTTGCAGTTTGACAGAAGCTTTCTTTGGTTTCTGGTGCCAGAAGTCACCAACACGGTAAATGAACTGTATCGCACAGATAGCAGCTAGCTAGCACTCGCTGACATCCAAATAAAATAGAGCTCACACCACAAACGTTCTGAAGAGACAGCTGAAAGGAGGAGCCAGGAAAAAGCTGCAGTTCCTCTAATGTCCACTTGAAGCTCCATCCAAAAGTGAACCAGTTCCCAGTGACTCCCATATTAACATTCCCAGCTTTATAGCAAAAATAAACATGTTTATAGCCTGGTACAGCTGTGAGGGGGGAGCTGGGTTGCCTGTTTAAATTGCAGTGAGGCTCAAAGTTTGTATTATTTGGGATGTCTCTGACAGGTGGCTGCCAACTAGCCGCTAGCTGTCTGCTAAGCTTAAACTCAGCTAACTCAGCATTTTAATGACCACTGGCTCATGACTCAGCATGTGGTTAACAAGCTAAAGTCTACAAACGAAAGGTCGATGTCAAGCTAGCTATGTCCACATGTTTTTACCCCAGTAAACTGCCCAGACTGTCAACACTGACGTCTGTTGATGAGCCACAAGATCGAATGTACAATTATACTGAAGCCAGAATCACTAACTCAGCATTAGACAGTATTCGTATCTAACTACACACATGCACACACTGTGCTGATGCCACGAGTAACT